TCCATCCAGATCCAGATGACCAGCTGAAGCTGACAGAAGACACCAGGCAGCTGGGGCTGGTGGTCTGTAGAGGAACCTCTGTAGTTCTAATCTGTCCTCAGGACGGTATGGAGGCCATACCAAACCCGTTCATACAGCAACAGGATGGCTAACACAGTCTGTCACTCACTGAGTCACAGTCTCACACACACAAATACAACCATGCACCCGCTTGTATATTTTGTTTAGTTATTTTTTTCTTGTTTTAATTTTTCAAAAAACAGTAACCATGTGTAAAACAAAGCAGATTTCTGTTGTTAAAATTCATAAGTTGATCAGCAAAAGGACATTTGAAAGCACCTCACTGTGACGTGCAAGTTAGCAAAGATTTGAGTTGTAAAGAGCCCACAAGCTTTGGGAAGTGTTAACAGTACCATTTTCTTTTTATCCAGAATAAGTAAACCTTTTACAGTTCTATGTTGTTTTTGATAATAAAATGAAAATGTATGTTGAGTGTTGGGAATTTTGTTCTTCCTTGTTCTTGTACATGTTTGTTGTATGCCAGAACTAGATCAACTAGATGTGATTCAAGGAACCCTAAAAGTTGCAGCAATTTAATGAACTTTGAGCTGCTGATTTCTGTGTGGCTCAGCGGGCTTCATTTAAGCAGCCTTTTCCAGTAGGTTATTATATCTGATTCAGCAGTCTGTCCACTGACCACTGGTATTTTGTATAGTTACTGTCACTTGTGTTTTTTTTTTGTTGTTGTTGTTTTGTTTTTTCTGGGTAAATAAAGGCTGAAATATAGAAAATACACCTGAGCTAGTTTCAGCTCATTTACACCTGCTGTCCTTGAAGAATCACACAAGCTGGGTGCCCCTGAAGTTCCCCTGGCATCATGTATCAAGGAGTCTCTACGCCAGCGGCTTGGGTTCGAGTCTAGCCCGGGCTGATTCCTGCATGTCATCGTGCTGTTTCTCCTGTCTGTCTACTATCTGTCAGATAAAAAGCCCCAAAAATAAACTTTAAAAAACAGATTTGCACAAGTTTATAAATTGTCATCTTTTACTATAACTTCTAGGTTAGTTTAGACCACTTTATGGACTTCTTAAACATTTAGTCTGGGTGCAAACCATTGAATTAGCTATATTATTGTGATCTTTGAAAGCGTTTAAATGAATAAACTAAGTGTAGCCTGTCGCGCTGACAGAATTTGTGGTCATAACTACTTTAAATGTTTTAAGCAGGGAACAGTGTAAGTATGAATTTACCTTTATTAGCAGTAAGTGCAGTAGGTTAATAAAGGCACCTTAACTGATTAGAGAAGCTGTAATCTTGGTAAAAGGAGCCCATTGGTTTTGCCAAGTGTTGTGAACCCAGGACTTACATTCCAAGAGGCTTCCTTCCTCCTCTGCTGCTCAGTCACTGTGTCAATGGAGCACAGACAGGCAGCAACTAGAGGGAGTACTGAGCTCCGCAAGTGAAGTGCACTGAAGATTTTTATGACCCGTTTTTTTCCTTCTGGCATCACTTTTCTCCACTTGCTGTAATGTGTGTTGCGTAAAGGAGTAGCCGATGTTTATTATTTACCTGGAGATTATGGGAGCACTGAGGTGAGAATAGAAATGCCTGTGCACATCGGGGTGTAACCAAAGGGATCAAGACCGATGGGAGGAGGGCCGGCCGGGGATTTCTGAAGCTGAACCGACTTCCTAAGGTAAACTGAAAAGGTGAGTTATCTGCGGGACGGACGCGGCACGCCCCTTGGCAGGTGGAACAAATAGCTAGCGGACCTCTGTCTTGTCCCTTGTGTTCCTCCACCCGTGTGTGCGCTGTGTGCACCTCATGTGTGCGCTGAGAACTACTGGATCTCGTGAATGTCAGTGTTCAGAGGAATGAGAGAAGAAAGAGGTGAGTGGGTTTACTTCAGAACATAAAGCCTGTATTGTTAAGTGATGCATCTGGTGTAACCGTGCGTAATTTGTTGTTGCAAAATGTCCTCACCAAGGCCATTTATTCAGTGAGATCATGTTATCTGTTTGTTTTTAAATAAAGAAATTAAGGGAAGTTTGCTTGTTTTTAGTTTAACCTTTTCCACATCTGATTTGTGATCGCCAGGCATCATGGCCTCCCTGGTCTCTTTTACGCACGCCCGCACAATCTTTTAGCCAGCTCCACCGAACAGTTTGATATTTCTGTTTGAACGAGATTATAATCCTCATCTCTCTATTCAGAAACTTCGGTGTGCTTTTCATATATGGGTATCTGGGTTTGTGTGAATGTAAACAATATTATTCAGTAGATTTATCGACTGTCCGAGGATATGAACACACTTATTGTTTCCTACAAGGCTGCTGGTCAAGTGAATGTTTCCAAACTAGTTTTAATTAAAAATTACAATTGACAAATGTCTAGGTATGTAGGTTTTGGGTTTACACATGAGGAGTTGTGTCTGATATAATCAAAAGCAGTGGAACACAGTACATATGTCATATTGTGATATATGGTCAATATCATAAATATATTATTGTTATCAGGATATTGATATCCACCCTGTTGTCCAATCCTACATACTCACCGACTATAACGTTTCAGAAAATATTATATTATGAACCTCTCAAATATTTTACCATATGCCTCATATTCCTACATCATACCCAATACAGTTAATTACAGAATAGTTCTCACTGTATCTCTACCAGGAGAGGATCATTTTGTCTGTCAGGCATTATGATACTGGATGCAGTTGAATGTGACTTGTGAGGTTGGTGCTGTGAATCCAACATGGAGGTGAAGAAGGATGAAGGAGGAGGGCCGTGGTCTTCTCCAGGAGCTTCTTCTGCTCCCTCCAACTCTGCCTGCTACAGGAGCACCCTCATAGCCTTCCTCTTCCTCTTCCTTGTTATCGGGGTCTTTGTAGGCCTGCTTATTGGTGAGCCCGCTGACAGTAATCACCACACTATCACATACTTACGTTTGTGACATTTTAACACATATTACACAGGTTAAACATGTAAATGTTAAGTTAATTATTCTGTGAAGCCATCTGTAAGAAGGAGTCATTTCTACTCTGTCGTTGCCAGCCTACCTGGTGCAGGAGCAGCATTATTTCATGGAGACCGTGGAGCTGCAAGGTCTGAAGTATGATTCTGCTCTTCAGAATGAGAACTCTGGTTTCTCCATAATACTAACCTCAGTTTTAAAGTCCAAGGTTAGTCCAGACTGTCACCATGTTGAGAGCCAACATTTCCTTTAAAAAGCATTCAATTGTCCATTTTCACTTTCTTACAGATTAAAAATATCTTCACTGCCTCATCAATATCACTTCACTACACTGATTGCAGTATTGTTGCCTATGGGTAAGTGAAAGCTGAAATGAGGTAGATAATATACTCCAAGCGGGGGAAGGCGCCTGGAAGATTAAACTGACAACACTGTCTGTGTTCCTGTCTTCCTAGTAACATTAATGGTGACGTGATGGCAACATTCAGACTGGTCTTCAGGGTGTCCAAGATCCAGCAGTATTCAGACAACTTTGTTCAGGACTTGCTGAGGGCAGGTTTCAGCTCAAAAATGCACGGGAAACCACTAGAGGTGCCAGAATTTGGAGAGATCAGCACTATCATCTTACTGGGTAGTGAAACTATTCTGTCATCAGTTGACTGTCTGTGGCCCTACAAGTGGACGTGTGTAGTGGGAGAGATGTATATAGGCCACAGCTGTGCAGTACATTGCCTCAGGCCTTCCATTGTCCTCACAGGATCTAATGTTTTTCTGTCTTCTCATTCCTAGGCGCTAGTGGGAAGTCATTTTACGCAATTGGGGGTGAGCAAAAATGTTGTTAAAGCGTGTATGCAAATACTCTTTCAACATGTGTTTATACCTCCTTGTAATACCAAATAGTTTGTGTTTTTAATATCCAGGTAGATAATATGATAATGTTACTTGTTGATCACAGACAAATGTGCTATATGTGTGCTTTTCTATGACTTATTCAAAAATAAATCTGTGACTTTTAATAGGTTCACATTTTTTCTGATCTGAACAAAACTCACATGCCCATAGTTACACAGAAAGAGTGTTTGGTCACTGTAATTGTTGCTGCTGTCCATACTATCCTTGAAGACATCCCTTTATTATGCAACTCCAATGAGTTGAATCATGAATCACATTAGGAATAGAACTGTTCATGCAGTATGAACAGGAGGAAAACATTTAGTGACCAATAACTCAACCAATCAAAAAAATGTCAGCCTATCTGCTAAATCCCTGTTATATTAACTGAACTGCTCTAGAAGTATTATATATATTTATTGTTTGATACCAATCTGAAGTTTCCTCTCAAAAGATGGTTCTAAATCCTTATTTATTCCCATGATGCACATATTCATATTGTACCTTTTTCTGTAACTCCCACCCTACCATTTTTCTATCTGGGGTTTCTAGCCAGGTGTCCTGACAACGACTTCACTTGTGACAATGGAGAATGTGTCACCAAATTGAACCCAGAGTGTGACTTCATCCCCGACTGTGCAGACGGATCTGATGAAGCTCATTGTGGTGAATGTGAAATGTCTTTTACTTTTACTACTATCCTTTTAAGCCTCATTATTTGACATTCCTTTTTCAGTTGTTATTGGTAAAAAGCGTGCATGGTTACCACAGACTGCAGCAGAATATAGATAACTGGCCCTGAAAGGTCACATTGTAAAAGTGACTTTACTGACATGCTTGTAAGAAAACTTCATCTTGACCACATCATTTGACTTTTCCCCTTAGCCTGTGGAACACGTCCTACTATGGGGATTCGGGTGGTGGGTGGCGAGGATGCTCGCAAAGGGGAGCTGCCATGGCAAGTCAGTCTGAGGCTCCATGGACGCCACACCTGTGGAGCCACGATCATCAACGAACGCTGGCTGGTCAGTGCAGCACACTGTTTTGAGAGGTAAGCAGCACTCGTTATTTCCAAGTCACTGGCGAGTTATTAATAAATCTCAAGCAGTGACATAATTGCATTTACTACATCATCATTTGGTTAGTTAATCACTAAATCTTTTTTTTTTACTGTAAATTGTGCTATTAAGTGACTTGCATGCATATTTGTATGTTTTGTCCTCTCTTTCTTTTCTGTTTATAGGGACAATGACCCCAGAGAGTGGACGGCCCTGGTAGGGGCCAGGCTGGTGAGCGGTGAGGAGTCCGAGTCCAGAACAATCAACATCAAGTCGCTGGTTGTGTCTCCAGACTACAACCCTATGACCACTGACAATGATGTTACAGTGCTAGAGCTGGAGACCCCTCTCACCTTCAGCTCTTACATCCAGCCCGTCTGCCTGCCCTCCCCATCTTATGTCTTTGCCCCCGAACGCAGCTGTGTGGTATCAGGGTGGGGCGCACTAAACCAGTTTACTAGTGAGTCTATCTGCAGAGTACACCTCAACGCACCAGCACAATAGCGTATGAACTGTTTTTAGCTTTGAGGCAATATTTTCCTGTAAGATAATAATGAGAAACTTGAGAAAATTATTTACAATGTGGATACGATAACTAAACAGGGCAATCAAGGCATTTGATGTCAGTCAGCATGTGATTGCAACACATTTTCTGTAAGTAATGCAGGCTTTTAGTCAAGGAAAATGTAACATTTAAGATAAATTATAATCAGATTCCCAAATTCTAGTCTCATGTCACAGTATTATATTGCTATCACCCAAGTCTACATACCCGTTCTAGACTTATAGTACATCCTTATAATCTTGAAATGTGATCAGCATGAGTAATTTGGTTGCCCTGTACTCTTCTGTCATTCAGCTGAGGTGCCTCCAACACTGCAGAAGGCAGTGGTGAAAATCATCGACTCCAGTGTGTGCAATGCATCATCTGTGTACAGAGGTGCTATTACTCAGAACATGATGTGTGCTGGATTCCTGCAGGGCAAGGTGGACTCATGTCAGGTCCGTGCTGTTTCACTTCACACATCGAGATGACAATAGCATGAGCTATCAACTTCCATTTTCTTACAATAGGCCCACTTTC